AGATACAATAGGGTTCCATGCTCCGATGGAGACATGGAAACGCTGCTGCTTTGCAGCTGCGTTACCCTGCTTCCTCGGGCTTGGACCCCTAATGATCCGGAGGAGGAGTTAAAACAGTTCTGGTTATTCACAAAACACATGAGCTCACTCTGACTTCTAATGGAAAACATTTTAACACAACAAGCAGACCTAAAAACACTTCACCTTCTTGTAGGAGTTTCATTTAGCAACAAGGCCACCCAGACCGCTTTTGTTCGATTCCAGGTTTGAAAACCTATTTTTTTTCCAGGAAGGTAAAATGAAAAAAAGCAAAGCATTTCTTATGCTTTGGTCACATATTTTACATGATTAAAGCTAAATCCATCCAAAGAAGCAGCAAATACTGCCATCAACATGAAGGTGGGGACAGAAGTACATAAAACTACGGCGAAACTGAAAACGAGAGAACAGAGACACTGACAGATGGAGGATGGAGAGTCGGTTTGAGTAGGAGACAGAATTAAAAGCCAGCTCAGTTTAGTGGTATTAAGGTGCAGCCGTGTGGTGTGTATACGGTTGGAGGAGCACTGATTAGAAAGGGCCTGAGGGAGAGGCATACATGCTGGTTTTCACTTAACCGTGAAATGATTTCATATATCACACACTCACAGCAAAGACACATAAATGCATTACAGTATATGGCAGCTTGGAGCATCAGCACAGTTTTCCCTCTTTTAGGATCACTTACATTATATACAGTAGTTCAATATATCCAACAGGAGCAGGTAATGTATTAGTCAAGAGAGGAACAAGAGAGCAGCAGGAGGACAAGTACGGTTGTTCCTATTTATCATTTCACTGTGCCAACATAAAAAGTGACATAGAGTGACATCTCTGGGAATCCTACACGAACCTTAACTCAATCTAAAAGGTGTACAACACAGTCCATAATTATAAATGGAGAAAAGGTGTTCCGAGACAAAAAAAAAAAAAAAAAGCCAAAGCAAGAAGCACTTAAAGTGGCATCAATTTGATAAAATAAAATAAAAGAACTCTGGCGCAAACCATATTTCGTTAAGAAAATAAAATCTCAATTATTTTCTTTTTTTTTTATTCTAAAGAGTGTTCAATTTCCAACCTCCAGTATTAAAACTCTGTTGCCCTTTGACTGCTAGGATGGCCACTATTCCCTYCTCCAGCAACCCTGACAAAGATGAAGTGCATACAGAACACTGATGGATGGATGGATGGTATTACAACTTCTTTGTTTTTATTGTAAACATACCTGAGCATCAGAGTGTGCTTCGTACTGGGCAGCAGAGCCAGAACTCTGATCGAAGGTGTACATCAGCCTCAGGTCCTCCTCATGGAGCTCATGGCCATCGACCATGATTGATCCTTAAAAGGTACCCAGACATCACTATTACTGATGACAATCATAAAAATAYGTAATACTACTCATCAGCTTGTAAAAGTTAACAAAAAAAAAGTTTAAAAAAATATTTTCTTATATGAATCAGTAAAGTTAATGTGCGTATCTATATTAAAGAAGCAATTAAACTAATAAAAACAGATTAGATATAAACTCCATTTAAATGCACTGATAAAAGGTTTTCTGCTCCAAATTTTTTTATGTGTCAGTTTTATTTTTATTTTCTTAATTGTGTGCGTAAATAGTTACTATATAAAGAGTTTGAGTTTTWAAAGCATAGAGAAAACTCTCTCTACCTATAACATTATTTTGCCGATGGCAGCAATTAGCCACATCTGTGTTCTAACTAAATACCATGACCATGTTACAYTGTTCTTTTTACTATTCCACCCCTGGAGGCTGAATGAAATGGTCTCTCTGYTTCTCTTTAATCCGAAATTTCCACGCTTTGGTTTCCTGTGTCGCTCTCTRCTTCTTAGCCTCATTCAATCCTCTCCCTTAACCCCCTTTCTTCTACCTTATCAAACATATTGGTATCAAAGGTACAAGTAGGTACTTATAGCTACTAGGCTGCAGTTATTCTTGCCAAATTCCTTCCCAGCTAGTTTAAATGGGAGCAGGAGTTGGGAATTATAAAGAGAGACGAGAAATTGTTTGAAAAGTCCAGTTTTGTTTGAATATTTTTTTACGTGTTCTCAGACAAGTCCACAAACTGAGTTCAGTGTTCACCACTGAACAATTTTTGAGCCATATTCACCYGTTTTATATTAAAGAATAAAATTCAATAAAGATTAATGTTGACAGAAGTCAGTGATGACATTGTTCCTTTGAATAGTCGTGTTCCGTAACTTAGTGAGCTCAACTTCATCGGTGTGTTGTCCTTCAACAACATTGTTTCTATCTTTTCTAAAAGCCCTTGTTTTCATCCCAACATCCATGATCCCTTTCTTCCCCCTTTAACTTGGCTGACTTCAAACATCCAAGTGATTGGAAATTCGAAGTTCCCACAGCCCGACTGACCTCTGCTGTTTCCTTCCCTGGAGACTCTGGGGGCTCTCCTCGGCTATCTATAATTGGAGAGACGAGATACCTTGACCCGCTTTGATCCCAACTAGAGCTCTGATTGCATTCTGCAGATAAACTGCTTGTGTATCTTTGATTTTGTGTACTGGGGGAAGGGAGCATTTTATTACAAGCATTGCTTTTCAAGTACTCAATATTTATTATGCAATATCCCAGCATTTTGATTAAAAGAAAAACGTGACTTTTTTTTAAGCCAGAGCTCAATTTTCTCATCTCTTTGTCTCTCAACTATTATTAAAAGCAAACGTTTTTGGAATTCATCCAGTGTGAAATTAGGATGCTAAAACTGAAAAACACAAAATGACTACAACATTGTCTGCTTGGACAACATTTAACTTGTAAGAGATTGTTTTTACCATTTATAGTTAAGTACAATTACAGACCACCAGGCCAATAAATATCATCATCCTGATACATTTCAGATGACCTCAACATTCTTCAAATCCCTTTTTTTTTCATGTGATTTATCATGGTCAAAATTATGATCAAGCACAGTTTCCCCTATAAGCTAACAATTGAACAGATGAMAGCAGAGGATTGCCATTGCTGTTGTTTTTTGATATTGGTTTGGACTTTTATTGAGATTTTACTGAAAAGATAAAAAGAGTTTGTAATAATAATAACATATGTGGTAAATGAGCAGTTATACCTAATTTGTATGAAATGGCTGTCTGGCTCCAATTAAATAAATTTAAAATCAGAATTAATACAGAAATTTGCTAGACGCAGAGACAGGAAGATAATCTCTGTGTTCGTATCTGTGGTGCTAAAAAGAGGGCAAAAAAACATTTTCTTAAAAATACCAAAACTTTAGATTTTATTCTTAAGAAACCAGAGAAAACGTAAACTTTCCGATTAAGCAGCTAATGTGTTTTTTAAACTCAGTAATACCTGTCTTCTGGAAGGCCTCTAGCTGGTCGTTGGTGAGCTCCTTGATGGAAGCAGTGACAGATTTGAAGGCCCCCTTTAATCTCTTGCCCAGCACCATGTGGTCTGGCTCGGCTCTCAGACGGATACCATATTTGTCCTTGTCTGTTGAAAGTGTYAACTGTCGCACATTGAGCTCCTATGGGATTAAAAAAAAATAGTCAGACTATGTCTTCAATCATGCACAGTCGCGGTGTCCTAGTTCCCCACAGATATGGTTAAAATCCGATAATCTCTCTGTACCTACATSGGATGCATTTAGACAAAGCAGAGTTTAGGTAATGTGCGTTTSGTGAATATTCAGGCTAGATAAAAGTTTTGCAGCTGGAAAAGTTAAAAAATATATATTAGTGCATGTAGTAATAAATAGTTTTTATGTTCAGAAGGAGCAATTGCAAAGACATGAGAATAGGGCTACCGTGATTAGTCGACTAGTCACGATTATGTTGACTATTAAAATAGTCAACGACTAATTTCATAGTCAATAGTCATTTTTTTTACTTTGGTTTTCTCTCCAAACTGCTTTGACACCTTCCACTGCCACATCTGCCTTTCTGTCCTTGACACATATGCAC